AGGGATAATGGGGAAGGAAGGGGGGATGATACGGCTCAAGTAGGGGGGGGGGGATGTGTTGGGAAGGAGTGGGAGGAAGGGGAGAAGGGGGAGCGTGAGTAGGAGGAGGATGAACGTTGGCAGTTACTTTGAGTGCAGAAGGAAAGGGAGCGGAGAGACTGGAGGATTTGATGAGGTTTAAGCATGTTCTTTTGGGTCGTGGTTGGATAGTTTTGAATGTCTTCGAGAGTTTCTGTGGTGGACTTGGTCGGGAGGTCTGAGAAACAAAGGTTTTCTAACTTGTCTTGTGCGAGGACCGGGAAGTACAGATTGGAGTGTCTGGAATAGTGGAGGAGATTGGGGAGTCTGAATTTAGATTGGCAAAAGGATTTGACTGGGGGAGCCAGGGGGTAGAGGAGAAAGAGATCCTGGGGGAGACGTAGAAAAACCTCGCCGACGTGCTCCCTTTCTGGCCTCGCGTAAAACAAGGCCAAGTTTGAACCTGAGAATTGACCCTTCGGACTCAAATTTGTAAGTAGGGCAAACCCTTATAAAATATATTATGGGAACCGTCACAATTGGCACATGTGCGTCTGATCGATTATGACCACGTTGGGCACAGATAGGGCATCGGGCTATGGAACGTCAGTGTTTGGCAGGATAGCCTAGACGCCAAACATTAGCGAAGAGGGACTCCTCGCTAATGTAAACTTTAAAAGGGAGGTCATGTCTACGGAAACTAATCTTAGCAATAATGGCGAAGGACTTCCGACGGCCTCCAGGAGGAATTGCCCTGCATTGTACTACATTGCTGGAAAAGAAGAGTGCTGTTAGAGTAAGGAGCTGTGGAGAGGTCACGAAAAAATCGATCCCATTTGGCTGGGATAAACAGAGTATTCAAGAGGTTTGTAGAGGTGGGGGAGTAGAAGGACGGGGACGCGTGGGAGAGGGACTGGTATTGAGAGAGGTAGTTCTGCGGAGCGGTGGACAATAAGGCTGCGTAGTAGTAATAAGGGAGGATGGAGTAGTTGATGAAGCAAGAGGTAAGGGGGGAGGAGATGAAGTGGAGGATATTGGGAGAGGGGGGGGTGTTCCCTGGAGATAGAGTATTGACCTGGATGGATGATCTGGACTGGACTGATGTGACAGGAGGCACTGAAGAGGGAGCTATTTGATAAAGAGGTAAGCCTCAATGGTACGCAGTCATCATTACTGGTCCTGGTAAGCCTAGGGTATGCTGGGGAGGGAAATAGTCCACCGCTCAGGGTCAACTTGAGGGCTAAGGGCTAGACAACTAAACAGGGGAATGCCGTGCCCTTGGCTCCCCTTGGCCGTTTATGACTGTGCAATGCCAGACTTTCATCCTTTCACTACGGCTTTCACGCCTTAGGAGGTGGATAGTAGAAGGGGTTGGGGAAGAGATGGAAACGAAAGGGGAAGGGAAATGTGAAAGCTTTTCTTTTCCCTCTCCCACTCCTTCTCCCCCCCCCCCCTCCCTTTTCCTCTTCCTCTTCTTCCTCTTCCTTTCACTTTCCCTTTCCCTTTCCCTCTCTCTTTCCCTCTCCCCCTTCCTTTCCCTCTCCCTTTCCCTCTTCCTCTCCCTCTTAACCTTGCGCCCTCCTCCTTCTCCTTCTCCTTCTCCTTCTCCCTCTCCCTCCCTTTCTTCCTCTCCCTTTCCCTCTCCCTCTCCCTCTTTTATCAACACAGATTAAGATATGTTTTTACTAACTTAATTCTCCCGCTACGATTTAACCCACAACCTGCTTCCAGCACTCTTTCATAAAACATCTCCCTCTCAACTTTTCAAAATGAATATTCCACAATACGCAGTTCTAAATAATACTCTCGGTTTCTTGGTTCATCTCTCGCCGGGCTTGTGTTTTCCATTTCCCTTAATTAACTCCAAAGTTCGTGGGATTTATGGTATTCGAGTTTCCACCAGAGACACTGGCTGGCTGTGTTTGCCTTTCTCTGTGCCGGTGGAGCCTTCAGTCCGGTAATTCAGTTTGGTGGATATTTTTTCTTAACTTTTTTTTTCTTTTCATTTTAAATTTTGTCTTCAGTTTGATTTGTTATACTTTTTTGCTTTTCTATTTTGCTTTCAGTCTGATTTTTTTTTTACTTTTTATTTTGCCTTCATTCAGATTTTTTTTTTATTCGCAACACACACACACAGACACGCACGCAAGCACACAAACAAACACTCACACCCACACATGTGTGTGTGTGTGTGTGTGTGTGTGTGTGTGTGTGTGTGTGTGTGTGTGTGTGTGTGTGTGTGTGTGCGCGTGTACATGCATACATACATATATACTTATACAATATATATATATATATATATATATATATATATATATATATATATATATATATGTATATTGTACATACTGTGCATATCGTACACTGATGCACAAAATAGTAATATCCAGATTAGTTATATATATATATATATATATATATATATATATATATATATATATATATATATATATATGCGTGTGTGTGTGTGTGTGTGTGTGTGTGTGTGTGTGTGTGTGTGTGTGTGTGTGTGTGTGTGTGTGTGTGTGTGCGCGTATACATACATACATACATACATACATACATACATACATACATATATATATATATATATATATATATATATATATATATATATATCAGTCACCCCTTGCTGCCCCCATCTCCACCTGAAGAAAGCAAAGGATGACGCTTCGACGCTTCCACCCCACCTCCCCTCCGCCCTTCACAAAACCTACACCTCACTCTTCCCTCCCTCCCTCCCTCCCTCCCTCCCTCCCTCCCTCCCTCCCTCCCTCCCTCCCTCCCTCCCTCCCTCCCTCCCTCCCTCCCTCCCTCCCTTTTGGCGATTTTTGAGTTATTTATAGTGTAATTTTTGGTAATTATTTTGGTTATCTGTTCAATAATTTTGGTCTGTTATTTAGGCTATCTCTTGAGTATTTTCGTAAGTAATCTGTCACGTCATTAATTAATTAGGTGTAAGTATGCAGGTTTGTGATCAATTTAGTCATTTTTAATCTTTTCCGGATAGAAATAGAATTTTCTTTGATAGTCAGGATGGTCATTTAAGAAATAAAGTGCGACTCTTGAAAAAGAAATGATAGTAATAATTCCACGCTTTCAGTAACAATAAGCATTTGCAATACGGACAGATTCTGCACCACTATTATTCATATTGCAATTCAATATGTATTTTTACATCCTGATACAAAGGTAAATATGAAATACTAGCTACACTGTGCGTGTCGCGATATATGTGTATCGTATCAGTATGTGAACTGCGTAATGAACAACGACACACATATGGCAACGCTGTTACTATTCCAGACAGAAGCCAATGGCACCGTCGCTCAGGCACGAGACGGATGTTTGCCAGCGCAGGCCCTTGTGTATGGTGATCTCTCCTGTCAATATATCACCAAAGGATTTGCGTGAGTTTATCTATCCACATCTGATAGACGTTCTGTGGACACCCACGCACTGTGTTCTTGTATCTTATAACTTTCTTATTTTGTAAAACTCTGAAGCACACTGGAATTAATAACCGTTTCTATTGAAAGAAAAGTGCTATCGAGTTCATATAATGTACATATCAATCAGTAAATGGCATTAAGTCTTCCTTCTTACGCCTCAGGGTATATAAACATATGATGTTTTTAATGAAAATGTGTAAAGGCGTTTTCAGTCATTATATTGGTATGATTTCTGCTGTTGGAATTTTTGTCCCACCTACACGTGTTTTTCTTGAATAATAATAGCAAAAGATTTACAGTACATATTCGTTATCAGATGAGCAAAGTTTGATGCAGCAGCTGACTGTCTACCTAAAATTTCTCATCCTAAAGTTGCTGATTTCCAGGTCAGATTGCACAGGCGATAGACCCAAACTGGGAGAGTTGGAAGCAAAAATGGTATTTACTTGCAAGAGAAAAGAAAATGTATTCACTTGTAATTTAGATAGACATACACTAACAAACCCAACCACTACCTCCATCCTCGTACAAATAGACAGACAAACGCGAATAAAAAGATATCTTTAAAAAATTCACTAATCAGGATTTTTTATCTGTTCGCCCCGAAAATTATTAACGGATTTCATCTCTTAATCTATTCACCTTGACAAAAATATTCGTGGTTTTCATCTCTCAGTCTACTTTTACTGACCTCGTTTTACTTCACCTTTGACCTGCGGGAGTTTTGTGCATATTGTACACTGATGCACAAAATATTAATATCCAGATTAGTTATTGCTATTTCTGACTGTCCCTCTTCTTATTCTGCTGTAGCTTTGTCCCATTCTTATTACGTATTTACTGTACACAAGAATTTATAAAGTTTTCTCCGTTTTCATCATCAATTCATATATCTTATGATAAGCAGAAAGTGAAAAAACGTTTTACCACCTTCATCATCATTAAATTCAAAAACAGTCCATTATGATAAGGAAACTTGACTTTTCTTCCTCTTAATCACTGCTACCATCCACATATATGCGTTTAATACAAAGTGGTCCCAAAAGGAGGACAGTTTCAAGACTGTTGATAATAAATAATATATATTGTAATACTAATGATGATGATGCACATAACTTCAATAATAATGCCATTATAAACAATATTATACCAATACACACACACACACACACACACACACACACACACACACACACACACACACACACACACACACACACACACACACACACACACACACTCACATGTATAAATAAATAAATATATATATATATATATATATATATATATATATATATATATATATATATATGAATATATATATATATATATATATATATATATATATATATATATATATATATTTATATATATATATACATATGGCATAATGCTTCTATTAATAAATTCACAAAGTATGACCTCAACCAACTTTATTCCCCCCCCAGAGCCCAGACCCTCCCTCCTGCCCAAACGTGAACCTTTTCCCCTCCCCCCCACCTAACCCGACCCGCCCCACCCCCTCCTTACCTGCAACAGCGTCCCAACGTTGCCGAAGAGGCCGTCGACGCCGCCGTAGTTGTGCAACATGTTGAAGATGAAGGGCTGCCCGAAGTAGGACTCGAGGCGGTTGTACTGAGGCGCTCGCTCGGAGGCCAAGTCCAGCACCAGGAGACGACC